ACTTGGCTGGGTTACGGTAGCTCCCCCACGGGAGAGAGCCCTGGCACTTAGAGCCAAGCTTTCAGAGCAGCCTGACCCAGAATCGAAGCCAGGCAAAGCCACTCACTCGCTCTGTGACGCTCGGCTGTTTGACCTTTCGGAGCCAGGTGTTCTTTGTAAATAATAGTAGCTATTCAGAGCCCCAAAGGTTTTTCTTTTGCCAAACACACAATTTACTAAGTGCTTATCAAATGCAAACCTGTCTAATTCTCCAAACAAGCCTATGACGTTGGTGCTGTGATTATCCTCATCTTATAGATGGCATCTTATAGAGAGGTCAAGTAACAGGTTGAAGGTCACACAGCTAGTGGGATGGAACTAGCGGAAGCGGGATTCGAGCTCTGGTGTTCTGGCTACTGAACCCTTGTTCTTAAGCACCATCCTACCTAAGCGTTAACAGTCAAACAACTCTTTTTCATACTTCTGCTGAGATGAGAAATTTCAAACACACAAAAGCAATGAGAATCCCCTGTACGCAGCATTCAACCTAAGCAATCAACAACACTTCACTGTTTCAAAGACATTGTTAATTTTATTAAATTGCAATAATACATTTTTTGCATTCTTTTTGACCTTGCTTAAATCAACAGTCACGTTTCAGTAATTTCCTTTCGTTTCCTCAAACAATCATAAAATGAAGACATTGGGTTCTTATGTTTATAAAGTACGTTTACAATACCATTATTGTGTATCTCTGTGTATAGCTTATGGAGCACCTCTGCTTGATTACTTCATTGGATTTTTCAGCAACCTCTGAAGATGGGCAGTGAGATTGCTAGGATTCCACTTTTTAAAAATGGTCAGATGAAGCCCAGAGACCTTAAAGAATTTGCTCAAGTTCACACGGTTTGATTTTTTTAAAGTTTTCAGTTGACTGGTTCCCGGAACATCAATATATAGTGGAAAAAATAATGGCTCTGGAATTCAGCAGCATTCAATTAGTACAATATATGATGTAAAATCAAAATAGTAATGTGTGGATAATGTGTGTGATCGAACATAGATGGATGTGGTCCATATAGGGGGGTGTGTGTGTCTGTGTGTCGTGACTAACCCACTGAACATACATTCCCTTTCCCGCTTCTAGATGGGATCACTCAGAAAAAAAACCCCCGATTACTCTGGTCACTTTCAATCCTTCCAAATCTTGTCAGCACCAGGATATTCTCCAGAGTCCTGGATGCTCCTGTTTCCCCCAAAAATCGTTGGCTTCTCCGGTTCTCAGGCGAGGTTGTCTCAGTGTTATCAATGACATGCTTCCCCTTTTAGGAAGATCCAGGGAAAACCTCCATTATCTTATTTGAACTCTGTTTTCCTTCTGAGGGCCGTGTTGGAGATTTTATGATGCACTTTTTATAAGAAGACTCATTTGGGTGTGATCACTAAAAAAAAAAGAATGTGCCACCAAAATTGCTCCCCCAACTGCCACAAAGCCTTTTCTCAGTAAAATAAACACATCCGTGGCTCCATGTCCTGCTTCCGTGTTTACCAACAAAGTTTATTAAGAACATCGTAGATAATTCATTTTAGTCCAAGTCTGTCAGACTTTTAGCCTTCCTGGTGGTTCAGATGGTAAGAACCTCCCTGAAATGCAGAAGAGCCAGTTTCAATCCCTGGGTCAGCAACATCCCCAGAGAAGGAAATGGCAGCCCACTCCAGTCTTCTTGCCTGAGAAATCCCCAGGACCGAGGATCCTGGCGGGCTACGGTCCCTGGGGTCGCAGAGAGTCAGACAGGACTGAGAGACTCACACTCAGACAGGTCCGAGGAGACCTCGTTCTGGAGCTAGCACACGGATGATTCCACACTAGACCTAAACAGCGAAGGGAAGTTTGTCTCTTGCAGCTGGAAAAATCATCTGAGCCATGTTTCTATCCTCATATGTTTGCATGTAAAGTTTCTATGGTTTCCGTGGAAACAACACAGTGACTTTTAAAGAAGAAATTCAAGAAAAGCAGTTCCTTTCACGTGTCCCATTACATGATGAAAGTCCCTGACTTCAGACCATAAGGCACAACGCCTAGAGCAGGGTTGGAACGTGGTACATTTTGTTGAATAATAAACGAATGAATGGAATCCTCTAAGCACCTGGTGAAGTATGAAGTGTTACATCCTCAAGACATTTGTTAGGACTCTTTTTCCACATGTGTGTGAAGTAATTTCAATTAGCGATAACAGGTTTTTCAAATAGTAATACCTTGGGAACCTGTTTTAATGAATAAAGAGTAATAACATTGGATGAAATGATTGATCATCTAAGGTTTTTGCTCAGTTGATAAGTCGTGTCCGACTCTTTGTGACCCCATGAACTGCAGCATGCCAGGCCTCCCTGTCCATCACCAACTCCCAGAGCCTGCTCAAACTCATGTCCATCAAGTTGGTGATGCCATGCAACCATCTCATCCTCTGACACCCCGTTCTCCTCCTGCCCTTAATCTTTCCCAGCATCAGGGTCTTTTCCAATGAGTCAGCTCTTCACATCAGGTGTCCAGAGTATTGGAGCTTCAGCTTCAGCATCAGTCCTTCCAATGAATATTCAGGGTTGATTTCCTTTAGGATGAACTGGTTTGATCTCCTCACAGTCCAAGAGACTCTCAAGAGTCTTCTCCAGCACCACAATTTAAAAGCATCAATTCTTTGCTGCTCAGCCTTTATACAAATAGGTATTTTTCAATAAAAGAAAAGATTTGCTGTTTTACTCTAAGTCTCTCTCTCATTCTTTTATCTTTTTTAAAACAGAAGATGAAGGTAACCTCAGCTTTTCTCCATCTACAAAACTGTATCTGCTTTACACAGCTCCTGGTTCTCAATAAATGTTTATTCCATAAAAGAACTGTTTCACTGCTTGAACCTCCATGTATAGAGGGACACACCCTGACTTTGCTCCTCTCTGAAATACTTGGGTTCCTGACCGGAGGTTTCCTTTCCTCTCCAATGCTCTCTGCTTCTGATTCCACAGATAACCAGCATCAGCAACATAGCGTCCAAATAGGTTGAACCCTGTGCAATTTACAGCACTTGATTGGCTCACAGAAGCACACATTTCAGAGAGATTAAAAGTCAATAGAATTATGGAATGTCTTAAAGTGTGATTTTAACATCTGTCTGTTACAAACTGATCAAGTGATCAAAAAATAACAACGATGTTGGATATTGGAACAGCGTGATTAAGACACTGTATGATATTCACAAATTCAGAAATTTATCTCAACTCTTTTAATCTGGGTTCTTAACCAGACTTTGAGGAATATTTCTAAAAGTTGAGCACTCACTAGGCCATAAAGGACATTTCAATAGGTACCAAAGAACTGGTAAAAACATATATACTATATTCTCTGACCACAGTATGATAAAATAACTCAATTTAAAAAATAGTCAAAGTACTCTTCTATATTTAGAAATTAAAAATGGCACCACATCTTGTGTGTATGGGCCAAAGAGGAACCATGCTCGAAATTAGAAATAATGCCATGCTCAGCCTGGATGGGAGGGGAATTTGGGGGAGATACATGTGTGTGTGGCTGAGTCCTTCACTTCCACCTGAAACCATCACAACACTGTTTATCAACTGTACCCCAGTACAAAATAAAAAGCTCAAATTAAAAAAAGAAATAATTTCAAGTTGCTTTGTCATGGCCTGATTTTTCCCATTTTATTCAGGATGGTTTACCATCTGATGACACCAGGAAAGTTAACAGAGCAGGCCTCAGGAACCAAGAAAAAGCCTGGTTTTTAGTGAGGAAAACTATAAAGTCTTAATGAAATGGCTTATTTTTTAATAGCTTATTCTTCTCACCCATCTGTCCATAGATTCTGTGTCTAGATTTTTATTCAGATGATAAAGAATCCACCTGCAATGCAGCAGACCCAGATTTGATCTCTGGGTCGGGAAGATCCCCTGAAGAAGGAAATGGCAACCCACTCCAGTATTCTTGCCTGGAGAATTTCACGGACAGAGGAGCCCAGCGGGCTACAATATGTGGGGTCACAGAGAGTCGGACAGGACTGAGCAACTGACGCTAACACTGCCTGCACTTGACTCGCCAGGGCTCAAGTAAGAACAGCCGCTTCCAGCACATGGAAAAGTCAGTCCATTCCTGTGTGGCTCCAAGACTGTCTCCATCCAAGGCTCTTCTAGAAGAACCTGCAAACTGTGGACAGCAGAGGGACACCCCGGGAATATGAGAGACAACCAGATGGCATCTCAAAATACCAGTACACTCCATTTACAACAGAGTTCCTGACCACAGCATCACATCGAGATGAACCTGCTAGGCAGTCCTATTGAAATAGGCATCTCCAGTATGCACGGATGGGCTTCCCAGGTGGCTCAGTGGTAAAGAACCCGCCTGCCAAGGCAGGAGACTCAGGTTCGATCCCTAGTCTGGGAAGATCCCCTGGAGAAGGGCATGGGCACCCACTCCAGGATTCTTGTCTGGAGAATCCCATGGACAGAGGAGCCAGGCGGGAGAAAGTCCGTGGGGTCGCAAAGAGCTGTGTGTGACCTGAGCAGATCTGATCACATCTCTTTCCAGTTCCAAGTCAACAAAAACACAGGAATAAATCATCGTTCAGAATAGCCAATGCGTCCCAGTCAGAGCTACATGCACCAGAGCAGGGGATGTATTTTGCTTCCGGCTCATCCCTCAGTCCAAGTAAAACGCCTCCCCACTGTCACATGCTTGAGTGCACAAAGGGGAAAAACCGTGCCGAGGTCAGCAGAGCTAAAATCCCTTCTTCAGGACTCCAGTCCCAAACGCCTTAGGAATTCCATTGGCAACATCATAATGTCAACATTCCAAGGAAGTCCAGAGCCCCTGGAATCAAGGACTAGGATGCCAGAGAAAGGATGGACCGCGATCCTCGTGAATCCTGGGATTTGGTGTAAGGGCAAAGGCTAAGAAGCCAGAAGTGAAGAGAGAAATCCCGTCCACACTGCTGAATCTGAGCACCATCCGAAGAATGTCCCGTTTCAGTAACTGGAAGGCCTGCCAGGTCAGCAGAAGCTTGATGCCATTTGACAACATCAGGTAATCATCCGTCCTTTTCTTCCTTTATGTTGCTGGAAACCCTTCCTTTATGTCACTCTGGGCGTCGGTAGCAGGGCTGTCCTTAAGCAGAGGGTTAAAAAAGCTCACAGCTGCAGCAGCAGTCCTTTCAGTTCAGTTCAGTTACTCAGTCGTGTCCAACTCTTTGCGACCCCATGGACTGCAGCATGCCAGGCCTCCCTGTCCATCACCAACTCCCGGAGTCCACTCAAACTCATGTCCATTGAGTCAGTGATGCCATCCAACCATCTCATCCTCTGTCGTCCCCTTCTCCTCCTGCCCTCAATCTTTCCCAGCATCAGGGTCTTTTCCAATGAGTCAGCTCTTCACATCAGGTAGCCAAAATATTGGAGTTTCAGCTTCAGCATTAGTCCTTCCAATGAATATTCAGGACTGATTTCCTTTAGGATGGACTGGTTGGATCTCCTTACAGTCCAAGGGACTCTCAAGAGTCTTCTCCAACACCACAGTTCAAAAGCATCAATTCTTCAGTGCTCAGCTTTCTTTATAGTCCAACTCTCACATCCATACATGACTAATGGAAAAAACATAGCCTTGACTAGACGGACCTTTGTTGGCAAAGTAATGTCTCTGCTATTTAATATGCTGTCTAGGTTGGTCATAACTTTGCTTCCAAGGAGTAAGCCTTTTTAAATTTCATGGCTGCAGTCACCATCTGCAGTGATTTTTGAGCCCCCAAAAATAAAGTCTGCCACTGTTTCCACTGTTTCCCCATCTATTTGCCATGAAGTGATGGGACCAGATGCCATGATCTCTGTTTTCTGAGCTTTAAGCCAACTTTTTCACTCTCCTCTTTCACTTTCATCGAGAGGATCTTTAGTTCTTCTTCACTTTCTGCCATAAGGGTGGTGTCCTTTAACAACATAAATAAGAAAAGCGTGTTGTTGTTTTTTTTTTAAATTGGATGTCTTTGCGGTACGGTAGAGGGAATGTGAACATTTTTCTTTCCGTATTAATTTCTTTAAAAGTTATTAGAGTAAAAATAACTAGGTAAAAGTCCTTGTAGTAGGTGAAATGCATTCATCACCGTTTATCTGACTCAAGGTGGCTCCAAGGCCACCAGTGAAAAGTGAAAGTGAAGTCGCTCAGTTGGGTCCGACTCTTTGCAACCCCATGGACTATAGCCCGCCAGCTCCTCCGTCCATGGGATTCTCCGTCCATGGGATTCTCCGTCCATGGGATTCTCCGTCCATGGGATTCTCCAGGCAAGAGTACTGGAGTGGGTTGCCATCTCCTTCTTCCAGCGGATATTCCCATCTCAGGGATCGAGCCTGGGTCTCCTGTGCTGCAGGCAGACGCTTTACCCTCTGAGCCACCAGGGGAGCCCCAAGGGTCCCAGGCCAAGGGTCCCTCCTAAAGAATCCCTCTTGTAAGGAAGGCTCCGAAAGGGCTTCGGAATTTACCCAGAGCACAGCAGTGTGGAGAAAATGAAGTCGTTCGCCGGAATTTACCCAGAGCACAGCAGTGTGGAGAAAATGAAGTCGTTCGCCACTAGCTTCTTGCTCTGGAGTTCCTGGTCCTCCTGATGGCCAAGAAAAATCAAAACTGCCCATGAAGGGGACCTTCTGTTCTAGTTTGAAACATTTCACCTTGAGATGAGCTCAGCTTCCTTCGGGTGAATGAAGAGTCAGCTCGAAGGCTGTTTCTTCCTCCGTCGAGGGGTCCCTTCAGCCGCCCCTTCCCAACCAGGAGGCGCGCGCGGGGCGGGCACACGGCCGGCCGTGGTCCTCCGCTGCGGGCCGCGGTCTCTCGGCGCCTGGGCGGGGGCTCGCTCAGGTGCAGCCGCTCTCACGTCCTCGTGGCGCCCTGCTGGCCTCTGCCGAAGCCCGAGTCCCCGCGGCCCTCAGATCACCAGGTCCCGGTGCAGGGCGGGCCCCTGGCCACAGGGCTGGGCCGGGACCGAGCGCTCAACACCCCGGCGACCTCTCGGCAGGGCCAGAGGGGCCCCAGCACCCAGGGCCCTACCTCCTGCAGCCCCGGCAGGCGCAGGGGGCCCGGGGGTGGACCACCGTGTGCAGACTCCCGAGAGTCTGACGCCCCATCACCCCGCCCAGGTTTGGTTCAGTCGGGGAGGAGACGCCGGCGAGGAGGCGGGGTCTTCTCGGGGACACGCCCCCCAGGGGAGGTGGTCTCCACTCCCTCTTCTGATTGGGGTGGGCACTTCCCCGAAGCCGGTTCCTCCACCTCGTCTGCACTATGGCTTTTTTTAAACTTGGTTTTCATTGGAATATAGCTGCGTTACAATCCTACGTTGGTTTTTACTGTGCAGCAGCGTCAATCAGCCCTAAGTATACACACATCCCCTGCCTCCCGACCCTCCCTGGTCTCCTCCGGCTCCTTTTATGTTCAAGGAAACCCTTACGCATTTAGAAAACCCCTTCTCTCTTCACAAAACCTGGTTTCTACCTTGCTGTGAATTCTTTGCCAACGGGAGATGAGGACTGTAAAAGTGACTTCACTCTCTCTGCTTCCTGCTTCAGTAGCCCTAGTTGTCCCCAGTTCAGTAGAAGCTACATCTGCTGATGACTTACTGGATGTAGGCTAAATCAAAGTGGCTTTACAAAGTTATGGGAGCCACGCAGGGAACAGGAAGGAACAACACATAGCCAAGGCTGGTGACCATGTAAGCATCACCACCTGGAGATTGAGACCCGATAGTCTGAAGCCGGGTTACCAAACCCAGACACAAAGTGTGGAAAGAGAGCAGCTGACCTTCAGTTCAGCTTCCCAGGTGGGTCAGTGGTAAAGAACTCGCCTGTCAGTGCAGGGGACACAGGCAGTGCAGTAAACGGGGGCTTGATCCCCGGGTCGGGAAGATCCCCTGGAGGAGGGCCCAGCAACCCACTCCAGTCTTCTTGCCTGGAGCATCCCACGGACAGAGGAGCCTGGCGGGCTATGGCCCACATCATCACAAAGAGTCAGATGTGACTGAAGCGACTTCACGCACGCATGCAGGTTTCTGCTGAGATGTCAGGAGGCTCGAGACAGCCTCCCAGGGAGGAGCCAGCCCAAGGAGTAAGTACCGCCCTCACTTTCCTCCCTTCTTCTCATCCCCCACTGAGCATCCCATCCGCCTAAACGAACCGGACTCCAGAGGCAAGGGCTCCCCTGATAGAATCCAACCGGCAGCTACGGTGGAAGGATGGACAGTGGACAGGCTGGATGACATCCAGTCTAAAAGCTTTTCCTGAAACAGCATGGGGAAGGGATCAAATACAAGTGGATGAAGGAGAAAATCCCATCTGTATTTTTCAGAGATATGATCTCCCTATAACATATGCCTGTCATATCCATAGTTCGTTTCTACCAGTGTCTGAGTGGCTGCTTCATCCATCTAAGTATGGATTTCAACAGATGCCCACTGATCTGTGAAGTGTTCTGGTGAGGATAACTGTAGCTGGCCCCAAGGGCTTTCCGCATGCCAAGCACTGTGGGAAAACTTGTTATTTCCTCTTCGAAAGAAACTTCAGGGGTAAGACTTATTATTAGCATCTCCTTTTTACAGATGGGGAAACCGAAACTAAAAGAATTAGAGAATTTATCCAAGGTCCTACGAGCTGGTCCACAGCGCACATGAGATAAAAGGCCAGGCTCTCCAAGATGGGTGGGCTTCCCGGGTGGCTCAGTGGTAAAGAATCCGCCTATAACGCGGGAGACACGGATTCTCTCCCTGGGCCGAGAAGATCCCTGGAGAAGGAAATGGCAACCCACTCCAGTGTTCTTGGCTGGAGAATCCCATGGACAGAGGAGCCTGGTGGGCTACAGTCCACAGTGTCGCAAAGAGTCAGACGTGACTGAGCAACTAAACAAGAACAACTCCAAGACAGGCAGGGAGCTGGGCAAGACACACGGGACCTTGGCATCAGCTTCTAGATCATAGCGCTGGTCGCCAGCTGGAGCGGGGAGGCCCCGGGCCACCAGATGGTTTTTCAAGAGAAGCTTGTAATCCACGTTGCATAGGAAAGTTCCCATTTCTTGTGCAATTTACATTTTTTGTTCAAAGTGATTTAAAGTGTACAGTCAGGAGATCCAGTCTGCAAACCTCTGCCCAATTGTAACAGAGAAAATCCAAAAAAAAAAAAAAAGGAAAATCCACCCCAGGACCCCCACACCTCCCCCGCAACACACACACAACTGCAGTGCTTGTCAACAGCTTTCAAGAGCTGCAAACCAGGAATGTTTGTTTCCTGTCCAATAGACAACCATTGCGTTTGTAAGTTTGATAATAAAAATGTGATAGACAATTTGTGGTGACCAGTATGAACTGTCTCGTGCTAAGAACTTTATATGTGTCATTTCATTTTGTCTTCACAACTACTCTGCAGTTTACATTTATCTCATTACTCACGTCTTCCAGACAAAAACAGAGTTCAATGATATTTTCAGAAATACTGTATGATATCACTTATATGTGGAATCTAAAAAGTACAACAGACTAGTGAGCGTAACAAAAAAAAAAGCAGACTTGCAGATGTAGAGAGCAAGCTAGTGGTTCCCAGTCGGTAGAGGCGGAGAGAGGTGAGCCAGGGGTGGGGAACTAAAGGGTACAAACCATTAGATATAAATAAGCTACAAGGAAAAAAGTAATAAAAGAAGATACAAGGATATATTGTTCAGCAAGGAAAATATAGCCAATATTTTGCAAAACTATAAATGGGGTATATCCCTTAAAATTGTGAAGGACTGCATAGTACTCCTGCAGTTTGCACAATATTGTACAACACTTACGGGGTTCCCAGGTGACTCAGAGGTAAAGAATCTGCCTGCCAATGCAGGAGACGTGAATTCGATCCGTGGGTCAGGAAGATTCCCTGGAGAATGAAATGTCACTCTTACACTTGAAAACAAAAATGCTATCACAGTCCTCAAGTCTTAAACTAGATGACCGTAGAGCTTAGGACTTGATTGAAGCTCTCTGACTCCCAAAATTAAGCTTTTTCTACCAGAAGTAGAAGACTTTCCCCTGCACGGCTCTGAGATTCTAGGCACACACTCCAGAAATCCACTGGGACAAGTTTTTCTTCCAAGTGGGTCACCAGTGATAACCGCAAGTGAATGCATTTTGCAGTGCAGGCTGCTTACCAATTGTTCAAACATCACACTCCCTAAAAGCACCACGGACACCTTTAGAACCAAACAGAAAGTGAGATAAGCAGGGTAGAGCATGGAACAGCCTGTTCTCAGACGTCAGCAGGCTGGTGGAAGAACAAACAGAATCTGCTGAAAATTAATAGGAAGGCAGAGACCTATTGAAGAAATGTTAAGAGGAGCCTCTGTGCTTTTTTTCAATCCCTGATGTAGAGAGAAAATGTCATTTTTAAAGAGTAGCTTTAAAAAATGGGTTCCACTTGCTGGAACTGAAAGGATGACATTAAATAAGTAGCTTGGATCATCCCCACTGGGCTTTCCTGTGGCTCAGATGTAAAGAATCCGCCTGCAATACAGGAGACACTGGTTCAGTCCCTGCGTTGGGAAGATCCCCTGGAGGAGGAAACGGCTCCCCACTCCAGGATTCTTGCCTGGGAAATCCCATGGACAGAGGAGCCTGGTGGGCTACAGTCCATAGAGTCGCAAAGAGTCAGACACGACTGAGCGACTAGTTTCCCTCTGAATGGCTTGTTCTTGACCAGTGTGTTTTTCGGGAGGCACACTGCAGCACGCAGGATCTTAGCTCCACAACCAGGGATCGAACCTGAGCCCTCTGGAGTGGAAATACAGAGTCCTAACCGCTGGAGTGCCAGAGAAGGGCTTGAATGTCTCGCTTTTATCATTCAGGCCTCAGATCCAAATTCTCTTGCCCGAAGGAGTAGACCACTCAATTCAGAAGCGTGCTGTTCAGTCGCTCGGTTGTGTCCTTTGCAAGCCCGTGGACGGCAGCACACCAGGCCTCCCTGTCCCTCACCACCTCCTGGAACTTGGCCGAGTTTGTGTCCATCGAGTTGGCGATGCCGTCCAGCCATCTCACCCTCTGCCGCCCTCTTTTCCTTTGGCCTTCAGTTTCCCCAGCAATTCCAAAGGGGACCCTCACCATGACTTTCTCTCTCCCTCATTTATTTCCCTTCCAGCACTTTTCATGAAGGACAACTGCTCTCTCTAGCTATTCACTCACCAACTCTCTTGTCCCCCAACACCCTAACACCCAGCACAGCATCTACAACATCCCAGGGAACGGAAAACAAATGTTGGATAAACAGCCCCAGGCCCCGTCCTGCAGCCCCGACAAAGCATACCCCAGACTCATAGCGGAGGAAGCCGTGTCACCGCCGCGTGTGTGAAAGCAAACAGCCAGTTCCACTTATAAAAATATGCTTTCAGTTAAGATCACAGGAGATAGTTTCTAACTGATTATGCTGAGCTGGGAAGTGAGATGCAAAGATAATAAACACATTTAATTGAAAACAGATGGAAAGCAGTCCATTCCCCCTTGGGTGACTTGACGGAGGGCCCCTTAGCCTACTCTTCTCGCCAGCATTTTATGAGCGTAATTTTACATGCCAGAACACACATTCTCATGAGGGGACATCTCTGCCCCCCCAGCAGTCACTCGACGGTCAATCCATCTTGATAAGGAGTCCTGAGGGTGCATGCTCATTTGCATTTCTGCCCAGGTCTGGTTACTGGTACTGCCCGGCTCCGACTTCATCAATGAGAATCCGTAACAGAGGGACACGGTCTAAGATCCCTGAATAGGGCACCAGAGACGCTCTAATAGCATCTTTATTGAGTGTCGATTTCCTTCTTGTGCCAAAACACGCCTCCGGGTGACAGGTTCAAAGGATATAACTTGCTAGCAAAGCTGGAGGATTTTGGTGATCAGACACAGAGCAGATGTCCCTTGAGTACAAGAATGTTGTTTTTCTAAACAACTGCCCGGCAACTCACAACGGTGCAGCACACACACTGCTGAAGCTGCATCTTTGCGGAGGAGCAGCAGAGAAGCCCCTTCAGAAACCAAGGTTAAACTCATCAAAGAAAAGCCGCACACTTTTCCACGGTACGGAGAAAATTCCAGTTGCCCGTCCAACCTCAGGGAGGACAGTTTGGTGGCTGGTGGTAACCCAGGGCTCCCAGAGGGACACGGTGTTGCTAAATCTTCACATTCTCTTCTAATTATCACGTCCAGGACGCTGGGTTTCAGATGCTACTTCTCTGGCTTTCAGGGAAGAACTTAAGCTCGCCAGAGACGTTACCCCTTAGTGCTTCTTCAGATGGGCTAGCCACAAAAAGGAAACGCAAAGCCATGTCCTGTTTTCTGAGCCGTTAGTGTAGCTGGACACTCTTGATGAATCTCAGATGCAACTTTCACTGGCACAAGCAGCACCCGGACTCTCTGCTCCTGGCTGACTCTGGCTGTCACTGTGGCTCTGGGACGTATTAACCATGCCTCCAACTCTCTCTCCCACATAATTCATATTTTTAATCTACTGTCTTTTATTCTCCTCAACCTTTACCCTATATTTTGCCCTGTGCCCATCCATCTATCATCCATCCATCCACCCACCCATCCACTCACTCACCCACCCATCCACCCACTCACCCACCCATCTGTCCATCCGTCCATCCATTCACCTGTCCATCCATCCATATGAACTGAGCGTCTGTCTCTCGCCAGATACAATGCTACATGCTGGGGATGCACTGGTGAACAAGAGAGAGTCTAAGACCTCATGGAACATCATACCTAATAGTGGAGACAGGCACGAAGATGGACCATTTATCGCACTTGTGGTCATTACTAGAATGGAGATGCTTGAAAGGGGCTGGGACCAGAGGGAGGGCAGGTCTACACGGATGGGCGGGAGGCGGGAGGTGTCATGGACCCCTTCATGGAGGACGTGACAAGGAGGAGTCCTCAGGAGGATGGGAGCACAAATGAGGAAAGGGGGAAAGTGTGACATTCGAGGCAGAGTGAGAAACACAACCCGAGGCGCAGAGACCCGCAGCCCCGGGATGCTCAGGGCCAGGGTGGGGAGGGGCGGGGAGGAAGTGGGCAGGGCTGAGTCGGGAAGCTCCTGGTGCGTCTTGCCAAGAGGGATGACTTGGAGGTTTGAGGGTGACCCGAGAATTGTGTTTGGTACTCCCCCAGAATAACCTTCTTTTCAATTGGTCTGCCTGCAATGCAGGAGATGCAAGAGACGTGGGTTGGATCCCTGGATCAGAAAGATCCACTAGAGAAGGAAGTGGCACTCCAGTGTTCTTGCTGGGAAATCCCATGGACAGAGGAGCCTGGCAAGTACAGTCCATGGGGCCGCAAAGAGTCAGACACGACTGAAGAACTAAATAACAGCAAATATTAAGTTTACCCCATAAAAATGAAATGCTAGCTCTTAAAAGTGTTCTGACTTATAAGAACTTTTCTTTCATTCATACACATGAATGTGTATAGTACGTATGTGTACACACGCACACGCACACACACATTACACACACGCACGCACACACACGCACCTGCTCTCCGAGCACCCTGCTACTTGGGGACAGGACACGCCCACTCATCTCTCCCTCCACTATACGCAAGGATAAGGGAGTGCATCCATCCATTTTCTCTCCAGTTTGCATTCTTTTTCCTGAAGTTAGGCTTTCCATTCATCACCTTCCTCTTAAGCCCACAGGCCGGCCCCACGTTCAGGGGCAGTTGACGCCCTCAGAGTGTCGGCGCTGACGGGGGTTTTGTGTTTAGAGCGCCCCGTGAGAGGAGGAAGGAGAAGAAGGAAGCCCTGTTTGAAGAGCAGCCCCGGCCCCTCGGTCAGAGGCTGCCGAAGGGGGAAGGGGCCCAGATCGCAGGCGACAAGACCAGGGACGCGAGAGCTGACAAGGCTGTGGAGGATGGCACTCCTCTCGGCAAGAGAGACTCCCGGAAGGACGCCAGGGGTAAGGCCAGCCATCGGGGGGCATCTGCGGGGGTAAGACCAGCCGTCCTGGGGAACATGTGGGGGTAAGGCCGGCCGTCCTGGGGCATCTGCGGGGGTAAGGCCAGCCATCCTGGGGAACCTGCTGGGGTAAGGCCAGCTGTCCAGGGGAACCTGCTGGGGTAAGGCCAGCCGTCCTGGGGCATCTGTGGGGGAAAGGCCAGCCGTCCTGGGGCATCTGCAGGCTTTCTTCCATTTCAGGAACTGGGGCTCGGGTGTGAGGGTGGAGCTGATGTGATGGGACCCAGGGAATGGAGGTGGGGGGATTGAGGTTATAAAGTGCAAGTCTGCAGAGCGACAGTGCTCAGGACATAGCATCCGACCCCAAGGCTCTCACTTCTGCCTTTAGGTCAAACCGGGGTTGGGCAAAAGCGGACGGCTCCCAGGGACGCCGACGGCCAGGCAGGGCAGGGGGCTCAGTGGCCAGATCGCAGGTGCCGCACCCGCAGGGAGAGTCTGCTGCTGGCCAAGGACACGTGAGCCCTTCCCGACACGCTGCCTTCACATCTGGGAGCTGGGCTCTTCCCGCAAAGCAGGGACCGAACCGGGCACACCCCATTCAGGCAGGAAGAGCTCAGCTGCCAACGAGGCATCCTTCGAGACTGGAGGGCAGGGATGTCCCTGGTGGTCCAGCGGAGAGGCAACCACATTGCAACGCGAGGGACTCAGGTTCCACTTGGCGTGGGGCTGCCAAGCCCGCCCACCGTGGGGAAGATGCCCCAGGATGCAACGGAGAGCCGACACAGCCAAACATTTAAAAACAGAAGAATGGGGATGCGTCCCCTCGTGCCAGCGGCAGACACCAGAGCGGGGCTCCGGCCAGGAGCTGGAGCTCAGAAGAGAGAGGAAGACAGGCAAGTCCTCCTCGCATTTCCGCCTCCTGCTGTAGCAGGAGAAGCCGCATCTTCTGCAGAATCGCGCACGGGATAGTTCTGCTTGGTGTGCCTCCAGGATGCAGGAGAGAAAAGCGGGGGGTGTTTTTAAGGTGAAAAGTTATCTTCAAGCCTCACTTACTAACTGGATGGTGCAATCCTTTCTGATCATTAACTCAGAGCTCTCACTTATTCCGAGTCCCAAACAGAGTGACAAATTCCAGCTGCCAGAGCCAGGGTTACATAAATCCTCCTGACTGCCCCCTGATCCCGCTCACACAGAATCAGGAAGGGGTCTTAGGGATGCAGACCCGGCTCACGTTTTGCAAATCAGTTTCTAGTCCCTAAAAGTCTTCTTGGTTTCAGCCACGTGGAAGCCAGTGAAAACTGTGAAGATCTGAACCAGGTAAAACTGAGCTTAGAAAGCTTTTGCAAGCTTTGCCAAGTCTGGTCCTGCTCCCCAGCACTGAAACTAGTCCTTAAGAATCTCTGTGGGGGAACTTCCCTGTGGCCCAGTGGCTAAGACTCCTTGCTCCCAATGCAGGGGGCCCGGGTTCAATCCCTGGACAGGGAACTAAGGTCCCACATGCCACAACCAGGACCTGGAGCCACCAAATAAATAAATTAAAACAAACATTTAAGAAAAAAAAGGAAGACTTGTGGGAAAGGGAAAGAGGAGAGATACAGCAAAAGTAGGAGAGAGGAGACAACTTATTAGGCTAACAACAACTTTGAAGCAAAGCAAGTGCAAACTCTTCTGCGCCAACGGAATTCAGAATGAGTGTCAACTTCAAAGGCGCAGGAAACAGACATCTGGCTCCTCTTGTCTCCCAGCTCAGAGGCCTTCTGAGGGTCTGCACATGAGCCCACAGCGTTCCAGACCCCTGCGCGCGGCCGTGTTGATTCTTCCCTAGGCTTCCGACCTTTTCTTTCACATTCCCCTCCAGCTCTGCTCAGAGATCAAAGGCCTAGCATTGTGCACCAACCACGCGCACAGTCAGCTAAGTGACAGGCACTTTGGGAGCGTGTAGGGTACCAAAGTGGGCTCATTCTGTCATTCGCTGACTATGTGGTGAGCACCCACTCTGCTCCAGACAGTTTCAGGTGCTGAAAACACCTCAGTGAATACAAACCAGAGGAGATCATCCACAACACAAACGCAGAAATCACTCAGATGAGAGACGAGGGTAGCATGGACCTGAGTGGAAACAGCATCAGAAAGGTCCCCTCTGAAACAGGTGGTGCTCAGGGAAGGAGTTCAAATGGAAGCCCATACATGCTGGGCTTCCCGGGCCCCTCCGAGGGTAAAGAATCTGCCTGCAGTGCAGGAGACCTGCGTCCGATCCCTGGGTCAGGAAGATCCCCTGGAGAAGGGAAGGGCAACCCACTTTAGTATCCTTGCCTGGAGAATCCCCTGGACCGAGGAGCCTGGTGGGCCACAGTCCACTGGGTCATGACGAGCTGGACAGGATGAGTGACCAACACTTCCACTTTCACACGTTAAATATTATTGTATGTGCCTAGATGCTCTGTTGATAGACTGACTTTATATGCATGATTAATGACATAAAATATATAATTTATACTTTATCATTAAAAACAGCTTCCTAGGTGGTTCAGAGGTAAAGACTCCATCTGCCAATGCAGGAGATGCAAGAAACGTGAGTTCAGTCTCTGGGTCAGGAAGATCCCTGGAGGAGGAAATGGCAACATATTCCAATATTCTTGCTGGGAAAATCTCACAGACAGAGGAGCCTGGGGGGCTACAGTCCATGGGGTCACAAAGAGGTGGACATGACTGGTCAACTGAGCATATAATTAAAATAACACACTAATGCAGAGAATGCAGTTATGGACCATATTCTATTCTCAAACTCTTCTCCAGCCTCCCAGAGCAGTGTGGGCAGAGGCAGAATTTGAATGCCACTTTCTTCTGCATATGGTCCCATCTGGGCTGAATCAATGACCCGGGAGGTCGGGGCTTGCTCCCTAAGGGAGTGGTGGAAGCTATGGAAGCTGTCGTGGGAGCCTGCAGTTCAGACTCTGCCATGTGAGCCCAACTGTTTCTTACTGTCCTCCCACTTGAAAGTGATTAGGACTTTCTTCCATTTGGGGTTTTTTTACCCACTTCTGTCCCTGAAAGGCTCCGGAAATCGCACAGCAAGTTTTCCGACAGATGCTCCTACAAGCAGCCGACAGTCCCTCACAGCTGCCCCGCTGCCCTCCCCACATGTCGCAAGCCTGACGTGGCACAGACGAAGGGAGACTGAAGCCCACGGCCCTGCCGCCTCCGGAATGCCCAGCCCCAAAGCCAGGTTGCCTTTCACAGCCTGGGGAGGCGCCCCTAAACCACCAGGGGTTCTGCCAGGCAAGAGATCCCAGCAGGAAATACCCAGGCATGTAAGATGTCAAGTTGGAGTGGTGGGGAGGGGGAGACAGAGAAATGTTCCAGAAGAAACGGGCTTGCTTGGAAAAGTGCGGTTTCTGAAGCAATTTTTGGAACCTTAGTGCAGAGAATAGCGGGAGCGACTGCCTCTGGGGGACAGGCGGGCACTCCCCAGCCCTGGACTCACATGCGGCATGAAATCTGAACCATGGCCTTTGCGTTCGACCGCCTCTCCTCGGGGTTGTGTGAGGAGATCTGTAAGACTGCAAATCAAAGGAGCACTCGCTCCAGCATTTCGGAGCCAGGGAGCACAACTCTCGGGCCAACACTGCACTTTCCGTCCAGACGTGCTCGAGACTAGATGGCTGAGCTGAGCGTGGCTCGGTTTTCTCGGAGAAGAGCAGGTGGTTGAACGAGAAAGGAGAGCAGAGGGCAAAGGCTCAAAAGGGGTGACGGTCCACCCCTCACACATGGCTTTGCTCACCTCAGCCCACACCCTGGAGCCCTGGTTCTTCTTGGGCAAAACGGAGTTCATTGCACTCAGCTTGCGAAGTCACTTCAGTCGTGCCCAATTCTTTGTGACCCTATGGACCACAGCCCACCAGGCTCCTCTGTCCATGGGATTCTCCAGGCAAGAATACTGGAGTGGGTTTCCATTCCTTTCTCCAGGGGATCTTCCCCACCCGGGGATCAAACTCGGGTCTCCTGCACTGCAGGCAGATTCTTTATCATCTGAGCCACCAGGATGGGACCAGAGTAGATGATGTAGAGGAGAGTGGCGTTCAAATTCTCCCTCTGCCCACACTGCTCTAAGAGGCTGGAGACAAGTTGGAGAACAGAACGTGGTCCATAAATGCATTCTCTGCAGTGGTGTTTTTTTTTTTTAACCAAACCTCACCCAAACCCGCCTCCCTGCAGCTTCCTTTGTTGGTTCTAGTTTCGTCCACAGGGTCTGGTCAGATGAGCTTGACCTCTGTTCTTCATGGCAGCCTTCAGATATTTGAGAGTGACTGCATGTCCCCCACCAGATTCATTCATCTTCCATCTAACCATTCCCACTCCTTTCAGTCACACCCCAAAGAACAAAGAGTGTTTTAGGGTTTCCACACCATCGTCACCACTCTCCTCTGAAGGAGCCACAGTGGGTCCAGGTGCCCTTAAGCTGAATTCAGGGATTCACCTGTGATGAGACCAAGAAGAGAAAACTGGGTCCATTCCCTTCTTGTTCCAGATTCTATGTCTACTGATGCAGGCAGTGGCCTTGCAGACAGGTTCTCAGTCACTCAGTCATGTCTGACTCTTTGCAACCCATGAACTGTAGCCTGCCAGGCTCCTCTGTCCTTGGGACTTTCCAGGCAAGAATCCTGGAGTGGGTAGCCATTTCCTTCCTCAATCCACTCACACAGTTCAGTTCAGTTCAGTCGCTCAGTCATGTCTGACTCTTCGTGACCCCATGGACGGCAGCATGCCAGGCTTCCATGTCCATCACCAACTCCCGGAGCTTGCTCAAACTCATGTCCATTGAGTCGGTGATGCCATCCAACCATCTCATCCTCTGTCATCCCCTTCTCCTCCTGCCCTCAATCTTTCCCAGCATCAGGATCTTTTCCAATGAATCAGCTCTTCACATCAGGTGGCCAAAGTATTGGCGTTTCAGCTTCAGCATCAGTCATTCCAATGAATATTCAGGACTGATTTCCTTTAGGATGGACTGGTTGGATCTCCTTGCAGTCCAAAGGACTCTCAAGAGTCTTCTCCAACACCACAGTTCAAAAGCATCAATTCTTCTGTGCTCAGCTTTCTTTATGGTCCAACTCTCACATCCATATATGATTACTGGAAAAAACATAGCTTTGACCATACGGACAATTGTCGGCAAAGTAATGTCTCTGCTTTTTAATGTGCTGTCTAGGTTGGTCATAACTTTCCTTCCAAGGAGTAAACGTCTTTTAATTTCATGGCTGCAGTCACCATCTGCAGTGATTTTGGAGCCCAAGAAAATAGTCTCTGTCTCCATTGTTTCCCCATCTATTTGCCATGATGGGACCAGATGCCATGATCTTAGTCTCCTGAACATTGAGTTTTAAGGCTCACACAGCAGGCAGAAAATTTGTCCTGCCACCTATTTTCCTAAAGCTTTGCAAACTAGGAAGTGTTTTCCTGTTTTTAACTGGTTGACGAAGAAATCAAAAGAGGACTATTTGGTGACACAGAAGAAAGACATGAAAGTCAGAATGTAGTGCCCGTGAATAAAGTTTTAGTGGGACACAGTCAGCCCCACCCACTTATCTGCATATTTGCATACTGTCTGCAGCTACTCTGGTGCTGTGATGGATGAGATGGCCCACAAAGGCTTAAATGTTTATTATCAGGCCATCGGCGGAGAAAGTCCTCCTTCCTCCATGCTCGAGTCAAAGAATGATCCTGCACAAAGGCAGAAAAATGAGAGGCATACTTAAGTCATCCTTTAATAAACCAAATTAAATGACTATGTCAGAGCCCCTAAGAACCTTCTCTACTCAGTTAAACCCCCAGAGCAAGAATCAACTCAACCTGTGTGGCCTCAACTCACAAACAATGAACGTGGCCTGAGACACGTCCACCGAGCTGGTCACATTTCAGAAAAGCAAATCAGAACATCGTGACCAGGGTTCCGTGGGTCTCCCAACAAGTACTTTCATTCTGGGCTCTGGGATGAGGGTCTGTTTCTTTCTCAGCTGCACAAGCCTCTTCCTTGTTATGCTGGGGTCAAACACGGACAGATCAGCCCCGGTCACGGTGGGAAGGAAGGGGTGAGGTGCCGGGGTCCTCCGAGGTGCCCTTTCTCTCCTCACCCCCCAGGAACAGACTGGAAGCTGCCAGTCCCCCTGGGACCTGTTTATCCACCTTTGGTCTCGAGTCTGAGCTCCATGAAAGCCCTGGGACGAAGCTGGGAACTGTCTCCTCCGACGACAAACAGGTTCCGGATACACGACGTGAGATTCCCGAGGGTCCCTTTCCTCCTTCGTCCTTTGCAGATTGAACAGTGAGAATGGGCCCCGTCTGGGGTGAGCTGAGCAGAGTGCTGAGGCCAGTGCAAACCAGAGGAGCAGGAGCGGGTGGTGTCTGTCCCTCCCCACGTCCCCGTCCCACCCGGACACCTCGTGAGACCCGGGCAGGGGAGAAAGGGAAGCCCGAGTGCAGGTCCTAACGCGCCCAACACGATCCTCAGCAGGGGCCCTTACAGAGAGAAAAGAAAACCCTCAAAACCGGGCCGTCTCCTGGTGGGCCTAATAGTTTCTTCCACGCCAGGCCTGCTCTGCTCCTCCTCCCGCTGAAGCAAGCTTACAGCTACCAGAGGGAAAACCCTGGTTGGGGGGAGATAAATCAGGAGCTGGGAGGAACAGTCACACTACTGTACGTAAGACAGACGACCAGGGACCCACTCTACAGCACAGGGAACTCTGCCCGATAGTCTGTGATAAACGTTAGGGGGAAAGAATCTGAAAAATAAAAAGATGCATGTTTACATATAACCGAGGGCTTCCCCGGTAGCGCAGATGGTAAAGAATCTGCCTGCAATGCAGGAGACCTGGGTTCGCTCCCTGGGTAGGGAAGATCCCTTGGAGAAGAAAATGGCAACCGACTCCAGTAATCTTGTCTGGAAAACCCCACGGACAGAGGAGTCTGGTGGGCTACAGTCCGTGGGGTTCAAAAGAGTCGGACACGACTGAGCTACTAACACTTATGTATAACTGAATCACTTTGCCGTATACCTGAGTCTAAGACAACGTTGTAAATCAACTATGCCCCAAATAAAATTCTAAAATCATAATAATCTGCCACAGAGGCGGGTGGTGAGCGGAGGGGTCATCACTAGAGCTTGTGCCTGACCCTCCAGCCACTGACCCACTGACCCAGTGACACATGAGGGGTTAGGTTTAGTGTTGGTGGGGGGGCGGGGTTGCCTCTTTGATCTGCATCTCAGGGATGCAGAAAATTAAGAGAGGTGCCCGGAAGCCCAACTCATGCACAAGAGGCGTGAACGAGAGCCACCCCCTCCAAAAAGCCCCCGCCTGGTCTTGCCGTGAGCCCGAGGCGCTCGGGAACCTTTGTTTCTTGGGCTCCTCGTCAGGTGCGTGCGGCCCGCCTGCCCCAGCAGGGCCCCTTCCAGAACTCCATGGACCTGAAGGCGGAGAAGAGGCTGGCCGGCTGCAAGGAGCGTCGCAGCCGCTTTGGAGACATCAACACTCACAAGTGCTATCAGTTTGGACAGATTTTCTGCCCTTCCCAGGCCCTTGCCACCACGGTGAGCAAGCTTTTCTTCTGCTTTCTTCCATAACTTCTTTTAGTGAGAACCGGGACAAAACCCAGGGCTTCCTTTCTTTGGAGGGATACATTAGCCAGTTCTGGCCACAAAACAAATTACCCTAAAACTCAGTGGCTTACGCTGGCAAGCATCTACATTTCTTCCTCGCTAGCTTAAAGAGAAATATATTCATTCCACTTTTTCTCACTGCAAGTCCACAGGGTAGGAAGAGTAAGAATTGAGAATAATCCCAACTATCACAAAAGACTAAATCCAGTCTATCTACAGGTCTGCGACCCCAGATTTAGGGGAAGAGCTGAAGGCAGGTGGCCACGGTTGTGTTCAGAAACCCAGCCATTTCCAGAAGACGAAGAGGCCTGGGGAGGGGGGATCTTTTGTGATAAAGGATGATGGTTCTGGTTCCTTCTTCCTCACCTGTCACCTTCGGGACCCAGGTCAATTCAAGTCGGACTGTTCCAGGAGGCAGGTCCTTGAAACTCTTGCTGTTACGTCTTCATGGTACTTTGTAGAGTTGCAGTCTTAGCATTCTAAAATTTGAGCGTGCGTGTGAATCACCTGGGGGACGTGCCTGGTGGCTCAGCGGTAAAGAATCCGCCTGCCAGCCCAGGAGACACAGAGATGTGGGTTCAGTCCCCGGGTCGGGAAGATTCCCTGGAGAAGGAAAGGGCAATCCACTCCATTATTTTTGCTTGGATAATCCCGTGGATAGAGGAGCGTGGCAGGCTACAGTCCATGGGGCTGCAAAGAGTCAGACGTGACTTAGGGACTAACACAACAACGAAATGAACCACTTGGGCAGCTTGGTAAAAACGTAGATCCCCCAGGCTTGTGCTGTTACCACACAGGGCGTCTTGGGTGTCTTGGACGGGCCCTCAGAGTTTCCCTTTCTGATGAGTTCTCTATGTCCCATGTTCATGTATCATCACTCAGCAGGACTTCCCAACCCCGCTCACTCTGTCAGTGCCCCTCGGGCTGATGGCCAGCATGCCAGGCCGCCTGTAACCCGTCCCCAACTCCATCGTGTACACTGGAGCCCGGGTCAGAGACTTCTACCCATCGGGAGTTCCCATGCTTCCCTGAACTTCACAGTCGCCTGGCAGTCACGCTCCTCCGCATCTTCCCTCCCCCAGAGCAGAGATCAGAAGCTCTGGGGGTGAGTCCCCAGCAGCAGCATGCTGTAAAGCCCCTCTGGCAGGGTGGCCAGTTCACCCCAGTTTCCCCAGGACTAACTTGCCTGGTTTTCCTGGGACTTCGTATCTTTTAACACTAAGAGTCCTGAGTCCCAGGACCCCGCAGTCCTGGTTTTAAAACGGAGTATCTCAAGTCCCTGGAACTCACGCAAACCGCGTGGTTGGTCACCTGTCCACTCGTGATTCCAAGGTGCAGCCACTCAGAGAAGTCTGCACTCCGACCTTCGCGCGCCAGCCCCAGCGCCTCCTCTCACGGGTCACTGCTGCCCGTCTTCCCAGCCACTGACCAGTATCCCCTGCGGAGGGGCCACGTGCCCAAGCCAGGCATGCTGGAGCACCCAGACATGGAGTTTCAACCCCACCTTCAGGGAGGGCGAGCAAACTGAGCCACATGCTTCAAACACGAGCAAAATGGACCAGTAATAACAGCAGCGCCATAAACTGATGGGCCCAGAAGGAGATGAGGGCTATCCGAGCTGGAGATGCTTCCTGCTAACCCAGCGCCGCCCCCACGCCCCTGAGGCCTTTCTGAAGTACAGAGTCTCTAGGCGGGGGTGATGTGTCTCAGTAGGGACGGCCTCTCAACACGCAGGGTCACCTGGGAAGAGAGGATCCCTGTGAGCTGAAGATAGTAGGACCTCGTGCGGAATCCTTAGTGTGGGGCAGGTGTGGTGCCAGAGCCCTCACAAGGCCTTGCGCTTCATGACCTCCATCATATGAACATCATCCGCGTTTTATCCACGAGGAGACAGAGGGCAAGACGTTAAGGGATTGGCTCGAGACGGCTGCCAGTCAGAGCCAGGGCCGGGACGTGAGGCTGCTGGGCCAGAGCAGGTACCCCCGGCCCCATGCTCTAGTCTACTTTTTTTTTTTAACTGAAGTACGTATATACAGTGGAATATTACTGAACCAGAAAAAGAACCAAGTAATGTCAATTGAAGCAGTCTGGATGGACCTAGAGATTATTGTACTAAGTCAGACAGACACAAATACCATATGATATCATTTATATGTGGAATCTAAAATCTGATGCAAACAAACTCATCTGCAAAACAGAAGCACATAGAGTTATCGTTACCATCTTTCTAAATTCCATATATATGTGTTAGTATACTGTAATGGTCTTTATCTTTCTGGCTTACTTCGCTCTGTATAATGGGCTCCAGTTTCATCCATCTCATTAGAACTGATTCAAATGAATTCTTTTTAATGGCTGAGTAATATTCCATGGTGTATATGTACCACAGCTTCCTCATCCATTCATCTGCTGATGGGCATCTAGGTTGCTTCCATGTCCTGGCTATTATAAACAGTGCTGCGATGAACATTGGGGTACACGTGTCTCTAGGACTCTGGGAGAAGGCGAGGGTGGGATGTTTCAAGAGAACAGCATTGAAACACGTATATTATCTAGGGTGAAACAGTTCACCAGCCCAGGTTGGGTGCATGAGACAAGTGCTCGGGCCTGGTGCACTGGGAAGACCCAGAGGGATTGGGTGGAGAGGGAGGTGGGAGGGGGGACCGGGATGGGGAATACATGTAAAAAAAAAAAAAAAAAAAAGATACACTATGATTGTGATAAAAAAAATAAATAAAAAAAAATTAAAAAAAATAAAAAAAAAATTAAAAAAAAAAAATAAATAAATATCAAACTGTGTACCTTTATAAATATACTTGTTTTTAAGCACCCATAAAACACTTTAACATATCTTTTAGCCACAACAATAAAAACACTATAATGTTTAAATAGAAAAGCATGCTACCTTATTCTAAGATAGAAAAAAAATGAAAAGACAATGAAAGTAACTTATAAAAAAAAAAAAAAAAAAACAGAAGCAGACTCGCAGATGCAGAGAACAGGCTTGTGGTTGCCAGGGTCCGGGGCTGGGGGCGTGGACTGGGGGTCTGGGGTCAGCGGGTGCAAACTCGTGCACAAGGGGTGGTAGAGAGCAAGGCCCTCCTGGGCAGCACAGGCAGCTGCTGCTTTTCCGTTTTTTCAGTGTAAACTTTTCCTTCAGTATTGGAGTATAACTGATGAATAATGTTGTCATAGTCTCCGGCGGGCAGCCAAGGGACTCCGCCATACACGTGACATGGATGCGTTCTCCCCCAGACTCTGCTCCCACCCAGGCTGCACATGAGACTGAGCAGAGTTCCCCGTGCTCAGCAGCAGGTCCTCGTTGGTCCTCCACTTTATAAACAGAGCTGGGTGTAGGTGACCATTCCAAACTTCCTACCCTTCTCCCCATTCTTTTCCCCCAACCATGAGCAGGGAGCTCCAGTGTAGCCATTATTCTCTGCCCGACAGGAGATGCGAAGACTGGTTTTCCCTCGAGACCTGCCCATGAGCCCACACATGCAGAGACTGGGCATCTCCTGCCCCACTGAAGGGAGTCTTCAGGACTTACCCTTGTCTTCCGCAGAACTGGGCTTGGGGAAGGACGCCAACAACAATGAAAAGGAGAAACCATCAAGCCACATGAAAACACCTCTATTCCCCCCAATAGTTAAGGCAACAAAATCTAATGACAGGAAATAATAAACATTGCAAAACTGCATTTTGGCCTCTCGCTGCAAGGCTTTGGATTAAAACGGCTCCCCAGGACTTGAAAATTGCTCATTCTCTAACCCAACGTAAGGCATTCCATCAACATGCCTCTGTGAACAGTCTGGGAAGGATGACCTACTTAGAAGCTGCAGATGCCCAAAGAGAACCGAATCCTCCACGAGTCCACTTGTCTCAGGTCTCCGAAAATACACAGGAGGAGGTGGGTACAGGTCAATGAACCAAGGGCCCCAATCTTTCCATCCTTCTGGTCTACCAGCACCAGAGTGTTGTATGGTGACCTTGGGGTTAGCTCCGTGTGGTCACAAAAGACTTGGCACTGCACTAACACCACATCCTCACAGGAGCACATCTAACCCTGAAAGGCTGAAGTTTCTGCCCACGTTACACACACACACACACATACACACACACAGCCAGCCAGAAGGAGAACCTCCCCCAGCGACCGCTGAGCAGATTTCCCAGCAACTCTCCTTGGCAAGGATGTGGCTCGCCCATGCTGTGACCACAAGGGAAGCTGGGAAGACAAGTATTGGATATTTGCTGGGGGCAAGTTCTGCCATTAGGAAAACTGCTGATAAGCAATGAGTGTCTGCTACCCTGGGACACTCCCTAGTTTGCAGCTTAGACCCTTAGAGTGAGACATTCCTACTTAAGCTGAGTGAAGACCTGGCTTCTTACGGTTTCTAAGCATGCATCCTAAGATTGCTCCTCCATGTTAAATAGCTTTCATTTTTCATTTTAAAAGTAACATATGTTTATAATAAAAGTTACTCAAAAATATAAATAAGAAAGGGCTTCCCTGGTGGCTCAGTGGTAAAGAATCCTCCCACAATGCAGGAGACTCAAGCTCAATCCCTGGGTCAGGAAGATCCCCTGGAGGAGGCAGTGGCAACCCGCTCCAGTGTTCTTGCCTGGAGAATCCCGTGGACGGAGGAGCCTGGGGGGCCACAGTCCACGGGGCCGCAAAGAGGCGGAGAAGACTCAGCCACTGAACGGCCACAATAAAAAAGAAAACAACCACCCAAGTCCCAACACTGAGCGATAGCTAGCGTTTGCATCTGGAAACTTTTAGATGGCTTTTCAGTCTTTTGTTTTTATTGTTCTCTGGGCCTGCATCTGTTTTCCAGACTTATTTTCTGGCTGCACCACAAGGCATGTGAGATGTGAGTTCCCCGACCAGGGATCCAACCCATGCCCCTGCACTAGAAGCCCAGAGTCTTAACCACTGGACAACCAGGCAAGGCCTGCCTTTTCTGCAGTCTTGACTGGGTTGCTTTTTGCCACCACTGCCCAGCACCTCTCAGAGAGTTTGCATTACAGGCCCCCGTTTGCATTATAGCTTTGCCCACAGGCACGGGGTCTACCCTTTCCTTTGAACTTTTGACTATACTAAACTTCCCCCCAAACTAAAAACAAAATCTATTCCTTCTTTATTTGTAAACTTTAGCCATTTTTGCTGATTCCCAGAGCTTAATTTTTTTCACATCAGCAAGCTTATTTCTGAGCCACAGGACATGCACGCATGGCACAGTCCCCTCCTCTCTGGCACACGCCTCCTTCAATCCCAGGCAGACAGCTCCCTTTGCAACGACGCTGATTAATTCAATTGTCTACTTGTTTTTCCTCTGACTGCTGTGATTCACGATGACATAGGCAGAATTTTATATTTCAGCCTTTCCCATCTCTCTCAAGCCAGGGATTCACACACTATGGCTCTCAGGTCAAACCTGAGCTTCCTGATTTTTTATATGAAGTTTTACGGGAAAGGCAGACACATGCACTTGTTAGCACATCTTTTACTGTGGCTTTGGGGCCACAGCAGCAGAGCTGACCAGTTACAACTGTGATTCTACAGTTTAGAAAGCCGAAAATATTCACCCTCTGGCCCCTTACAGAAAAAGCTGTCTGTTCTTTCTTAAACCAAATTCCCCTTTATGATTTCCAACTAAGGGATTCTACTTCACTTATTTCCACTTCGTAAAAATGTCCTTGAAATCTGGAGTCCATGACTATGTCCATCGACCAGCAGAGGAAGTCAGGAGGGTATCCAGGTCTCTTTCTAGGAGGACGTGGGGTCCACAGCTCTCTGATTCTGCCCAGCGCACTCTGCCTGCACACAGGCTAGGCTGCTATCTGGTGAAGAGACCATCCTGTGTGTCTCTGCATGACCTGATGGTGTGTGGAGAAGCTTCTGTCTTTCTCTCCTTTTATTCTAACCATGAGCCACCACTTCACACCGGCTTCCACTTCCAGGCAGAGAATTCCATACAGAAAGACCGGCTTTGTATGGATGCCAGGGAGGGTTTAACGTCAGCTACCCGACCTGGGCACTCCGCTTTCTTTTATGCAAGGTGCAAACTTCTACCTGGACTCAAGCAGAGATACAGCTCCAAACAATCACAATGGAATGCAGGGAGAGCTTGAGACCCAAGGAGGAGACTGCCCACACTTAGACCACGTGCCCAGGCATGAAGAGGAAGAACGATGAGTGAAATTCACAACTGACAATAAATCTGCTTTACATACATCTTTGCAGAAATCCATTAATGCACCGAGCAAGATCTACACAGACAGTCCTAGATCTGCTCTAGGACTTGAGCAAGGCAGGACTCAGATGAAAATAATAAAAACCACACCACCAGCGTATCCTGACTAATTACTTTGTTCTGCACACTGTATTCAACGATTCTGTGGGGCTTCCCTAAAAAATTAGCATTATTTACCTCCTGATGACTCGGGCTTCCCTGGCGGCTCAGAATCCGCCTGCAATGTGGCAGGCCTGGGTTAGATCCCTGGGTCGGGAAGATCCCCTGGAGGAGGGCATGGCAACCCACTCCAGTATCCTTGCCTGGAGAATCCCATGGACAGAGGAGCCTGGCTGCCTACAGTCCACTCACTCAAACAGTCAGACAGGAACGGGCGACTAAGCAGAGCGCACAGCATATCCCCCAGTGGCTCAGTGGTAAAGAACCTGCCTGCCGACGCAGGAGACACCGGCGCTGATCCCTGATCCGGGTAGATCCCGCAGGCAGCGAGGCGAGTAAGCCCGTGCACCGCAACTATTGAGTCTGTGCTCTGGATCCCGGGAGCTGCAACTCCTGAAGCCTGTCCGCCTAGAGTGCGTGCTCTGCGACGGGAGACACCTCCGCAGCGAGAAACCCGCAGCACCGCAACTAGAGAGGAGTCCCCAGTCTCTGCAGCCAGAGCCAAACCAGCACAGCAATGAGGACCCAGCACAGCCGAAAATAAATAGTGAAATTACATATGACTTAATCCACACTATTGTTCCCCTAAATTAATCCACCATCATTAAGGCTGAGAAAACTGACCTTTAAAGAGATTATAACGGCATCAGGCAGGCACTGGGTGGGCAGCCTCGACAGCCCAGCCGCGTCCCCCCGAGGCTTGCCCCGCGCGACAGCCCCATTAGCATTGTGTATCTCACACACTTGTTTAGAAACCGCCACACACGTCCCTACCCACGCCTGCCCTGTGGTTTATTTGTCCTCTGCTCTTTCCTACGCTCTCTTGATATAATAACCCCTGCACACGCGACGAATGTTAATGGAGTCATTTGTCACTGCTGGTAGAGAACATCTTGCAGTTTTCCCTCCCTGCTGCCTCCTAGAGCTGACGCCTCAATGTGAGCGCTTCCCCTCCTGGCCTTGGAGGGGGCGAGGACCCGGAAGGGAGACGTTGGGCTTTTAATATGCAGGGTCCCCAGGGACAGGGCCCAGGGCGAACAGGCAGAGAGGAGGGGAGCTCTGGGCATTGCCAGCAGCTTCGAGCTGGTTTGGGAGAGCTTGGTCACTCAGGACGGGACAGCCTTGGGCGTGACGCCTGTGCGATGTTGAGGAGTACAGCTCCTGGTGAACAACCTCGGTGTGATCGTTTAGGCCTGAGCGTCCGCAGTTGCAAGGCTTTCCCTGGCAGGTCCCAGGCCAGGCCTGCTGGCAGTCACGCACCGCTGACTCTGAAGGTTCCCCTGGCCTGCTGGCATTCCACACCCTCGTCTCTCAGTGAATGGGCAGAGGGGATCGGCTCCAGGACCCCCTGCGGATGTTAAAATTATGGGATGCTCAAGCCCCTTACTCAAAACTCTCTGCTTGTAACCTTCACACACTCTCCTGTACACTTTAATCACCTGCAGATTAATTACAGCACCTAATATACTGTTGACACTATGGGAACAGTTGCCCATGGGGGGAAGGTTGAAAATTCAAGTTTGGCTTTTTGGAATCTTCTGGAGCCTTTTCCCACAGTGAGTTGAATGCAAGGATGAGGGATCCGCAGCAACAGAGGGCCCACGGTGCTCGCAGTCCCAGCGCTGGCGCTTCCTTTCCTGGTGTCTCTCTGCAGCCTTGGGAGGGAACGGGCTTCTTCAGGAGCTAGGCTTCCTCTTGGGACAGAAGCGGGGAGGACCTTGAGACCCCGTCCCCACCCTGACCCAGGACACCCCGCTCACTCCCCGCCTTCCCCTCCCCGGCCATTCCTGAGCCAGCCTCAGGGTCCCCTCGCAGAGACACGACCCCTGGCCCGCTCTGATCCAAACTGCAGGGAGGAAGATGGGACGGGGTCACCCTTTTCTGTGGCTTCTGACTGTTTCTGGGCCGGTCACAGTCATGTTTGAAGGCTTCACTCCCACGTTCTCAGCTCCTGCCCTGGATCAGTGGCTCAGCTCCCCGTGGCTCCCAGAGCTCACGGCAGATGTGCCCGCGGCCCTTTTCGAGATAGAAGGGGGGGTGACGGGGAGCCTGGAAGGTATCCAGTGGCGTAACGGGTTCAGGACAGTAGCTGCCATGGCTTTCTCCTCACCTTTTCCAAGGCTTGATTCTAAGCCTCACATCCAGACCTCTGTGCACATGGGTGAGTGTGTGCACACGTGTGTGCGCACGTGTGTGTGCGTGCACACATATGTGAGTGTGTGTGTGCACCATGAATTCAGGGAAAAACTGACTACAGCCCTCAGT